AAAGAGAACTTCATGGAATTTATGAACGACTTTCTAGAGCGCGAAGCTCCATCCATGAAGAACTTCCTACAGCTGATCAGTGTAAGTTTAATTTTCTATTCAATAATCCAAACTACCTCTTTTAAAACTTTTTCTTACCCCTTTCGCTGTGATGCATCTCCCCTCAAACTGGAGAAATATCGTTATTCCTTAAATATGTTTATTTCATCTATTCCAAGTTGCCTAAATTCTCTGTTCCAGAGCCCTCTGCCAAAAGATGCCCCAGCCAACAATTCCCTGGAATTCGACGGTTACATCGACTTAGGGAAACAATTATCCCTTCTGCACGCGCTTCTGCGAGAGAGTTTAGTAACAATCACTTCCTCGTCGACGTCACTGCCCCCGACCAGGTTACCAGAGATCCTCGAGAGGATCTCCATGGCTCTGGATCAACCTGGCCCAAGCCCAGTGCCGACGTCTCATCGCTATCCGAATTTACAGAACAATATATTCCGTTATAACGACCCCACAATAGCGAATAGCAACACGAATCTCTCTGTGTCGGCGACGTCGACGTTGAGTAATCACAGTACTTTGAACGGAACGATCAGGGACAGCAACGAAGTCCTGCAATCTAACACTCTGGGCCATAACAGCTCGCGTAGCCCTAACGTTGCGAGGGCTGCCACTCTTCCTCGCAACGCGTACATGCCGACCAACGGGAAGCTACAATTGCAAATCCCCACCGACGATTATCCCCTCGAACCACCAGCCTTTGTGTCCCGTTCACCAACCCCGAATGTTCGACAGCACAGGGGGATCGGGTCGAACAGGACCGGAGCGGGGTACAGACTGACCGCCAGCGCCAGTTTGGCGAACGTGAATCACTGCCAGACGCATCCCACAAGCCCCACTAGATCTGAAAGTCATAGCAACCTGAAGGATTCAAACTACAACATCACCACGTCACAGAACAACCAGTCGAATATTTGCACCATCGTGTCCCAGCAGCAGCAGCAGCAGCTTCAGCAACAACAACAGAATCACAGACACAATATAGCTCGGCTACAGAACCTGGACATCCACGAGAGGGAGGACAATAGGAATCATTGCAACAAAGAGGAGAACGCGAACCAAACGTCCCATCAGAATTACAACAACGTCTCGAAGACCACCGTGAACGCGAACGTAGTGGTGAATCCATCGTCCAATCTGACGCTGTCCATTAACCATCAGGCGAATAATAATTATAATAACAGCAAGACCAGTAACACGACTGCCAATGGGAATCTCGACGAGCTCTCCGACCTATTAAGGTACGCTGACGATGAGGTCTCTGAGTCCAAGTCGCAGAAGGGCTCTCAAATATCTATTTCCCAGCTGAGCAACGTTGCTTCTTCCGGCTACCAGAGCTTCGCCGCTTATAGTCAGAGCTCCAGCCCAGTGGATCTCAGTAGCAATAACGCGAACGCGCATATACTTAGCGCTGCGCCTCTCGCTTTTGCTAATCCCGTTTATCACATGGAACCAAATCATGGTAGAAACGGCAGGAGAGGAAGCAGTAGTTCCGAGGAGAGGGACGGAAGCGGCGGTGGCGTCGAGGGCGTCAGAGGTGTCGACCTCAGTCCGTCACCTCCGCCACAGAATAACGTCAGGAACCTTCAGAGGAACAATCAGAACCAGTGGAGGCAGAATAATCAGACGCATAGGAACAATTCGGAACAGAATCAGAGCGTTTTCTGCACGAAGCTCAGGAGAAGGTTGTCGCTGGACTCGACGAGGGACTTGTCTGACACCAGCGAGGAGGAAAACTGTACCACCAGGAGGAGCAAGTCGCGTAGTCACCGTAGCGCCGAGCAGGTAATTAAATCAGATTTTCCTTTTTTTAATTTGGTACTTGGTTTCTTTGATGACGAATGATAGTATGATTTTAATTCATAACATTTCAACAACTACATTATTCTTTGTGAATATTAATTAAAAAGAATATTTGCACGCTTATGTGGTAATTAATGTTATATTAACTGTAGGTTACATTATAATTTAATGGTATAAAGTATAGACTGCGAATGTTTCGGCAAATTCAAACAAAGTCCCTATTTTAGTCAGTTCTATACATTCATTTATGCTATAAATGCATAAAATCCGCAGTCTAATAATGAATAATGGATTTTTAATGAAGTACTAGATATGAATATGTATTTATGAATTGGAATTTTAACTTGTCACAGAATAATAATATTTATACTTTGTATATATTTTTTTTTAAATTGCGAAAGGCAAACATGGTTCATTCGTCATCCGCAAGACCAAGTTCTACAAGTCAAAAGTTTCTTCCAGCGCCATTACCAAACGCCGCAGCTGCAATCGCGTCAAAGAATCGATCAATCAACCCGCGCAGGCAATATTCTGTTAACTCAATAATCCAAAGAGGAACTTACAAAATCTCGTGCCTTAACTCTCGTATGTAAATACAAAATCTCATAATGTATGTATATGTGTGATAACAAGTTCCTCTCGCCGCGTACCGCGTCTCTATTTCTTTCTGGTCTCTCTAACCGGAACCGCCTTCTCCGCCATCTCTTTTTCTCTTTTTCTCTCTCTGTGTGTCTTGTAACTAACAGCGCCACCGTTTCTCTTCGTTTCCAGTACGAAGATGAAATCAAGAGTCTGCAGAGTAGCGTAGATCAACTGAGGGCCCGGTTAGGCACAACCGAGGATACCGATATAGATGACGTTGCACCGGATACCAAGATGAAGAGCATCATTTCCAGGTACTTAATCCTCATTAACGCGGCGAACTAACCCATCGACTGATTTTTTTGCCTGAGTGTGAACCCAAAACCTCTTCACCCACTACCCCCTTCACCACCACCCCCTCCCTTCCTACGTCATATCGTTGTGGTGACCACATTTCTCTGCGTTTCACTCGAAGCCTCTATTTATCCGTTTTCATATTCGGTCACTTCAGCTCTGTGCCATATCCAATTCCCCAAGAATTCGATTTGTGATACCATAGAAATCGCGGAGGAAAAGCGTCAGCCAAGTTCAATCGTTTTTCCTCGTCTCGATCATTGCTCGTCTTCATTTGCCTCGTCGAGATCGAAACACAGTCGGGAAACCGCGACGATTAAACGGACGGAGCTGGATAAGTTGAGGGATAATCCTCGTCGAGATCGAAACACAGTCGGGAAACCGCGACGATTAAACGGACGGAGCTGGATAAGTTAAGCTAGGCGATTAGTGCACGCGTAATTGGCTCGCGAGGAGTTAGGTTAGGTTCTTATTGTGGAAATTTATTTATGTGCAGTATTCACTTCGTAAGATCGCAGCGAGATACAGTAAATCATCGATGAGTGTGCGAAGGCTCCTAGGCACTGAGTGTTCAGATGTCATCCCCACCACTAGGCGCTTGACTGCTTCCACGGGGACACATTTATCAGCCCCAGTGGTGGGGATGACGGCTAAACACTGTGCTGAGCAACCTTCGAACACTCATCAATGATTTACTGTATTATAGATCAGTTGACGCGATTTTTCGATTACTTTTATTCGTTATGGTAAAGAGCAATTTTGTGAGAAGAATACTGCACTTTTTGTGTAAGGAGAGTAAATGAGATATAAAAATGATAAATCTAATTAAATTATATAATCTAGTATGGATGTGTATATATATAAAACTCACGAAGTATCTTATTTGTGAAGTCACCTGGCTATAAATTTTTGGTCAGTAGTATTACAAAAACATATTAAAAACTTACTTTTCTTATTAAGCTTCTTGATAATTGTCGAAATATACATGTTTCTGTAAATCAGAATAATTTGTATGAGGTTTGAGCTTGAACTTATTTTCATTGGGAATGTCTCGTTAGTTGCTTACCAAGGTTTCCACACGGATATAACAGGAATTATAATAATTTATATTTGAATTAGTTAATAATTTGTTCGAATACGTGAAGAATCTCTAATTTAAGGCGAAAACGTGCGCTAATTCGTGAATGTAATAGCGTAGCGATATCAGAATAAATAACAAAAAATTGTGTTTTGACTATAAAAAGTCTTCTAGCAAATTCACATAAATAATTCTTGTTATTCAGCTCTGTCCGTCGATAAAGCACAAGCTGCTAAAGAGTAATCCTAAACCGATAAGCTGTAAATAGATATAATATACAAACAAGAATCCGCGTTTTGTACGACGATAGAAGGCGTCTCACGTAAGGTGTGTCACAAAGTTGTTTTCGCAGAAACTGACACCGACAATGATTACATTCTTCTTTTATTTTACGCAGTTCTATGAAACCGGTTATGTGGCTTAGCAATTGGTTGATTGACAGATAATTTTCATATTTTTGGTGTCAGGTATTGGGAAAGTGTTTTTTTAATTCTTCGGAATTTCATTAATTTGCACAAAATTTACAACAAAATTTCTGATAATCAAAATATTTTCTGTCTATCTTAGTGTCCGATTTCTTTAACAGTAGGTATAACGAGGTGAAAAAAGTTACAGTAAAGTTGAACAGTATTTGTTGTCAAAGAAATTGTTTGCAAATTAGAACATTTATTTAATAATTCGTTAAAAATAAATTAACAGTAAAACCATGATGATCATAGTCTGTGAATGATATTTAATAACAAATGAATACTTTTTCGAACAAATACAAATAAATGAATAAATTCATTTATTATTGTTTTATATCTCTAACAATAAACTGTCACAAATTAGAGTATCTTTAATGAGAAATTACACATCGGTAATTTTAATCGTTTCGGTAGCTACAGTGTTAACACACTGGCGCCTGAACTAAACTAACTGAAAATAAATATTGTTTTACGTTATTTCTTGGAGAAACGAATATTCGTTAAAACAATTTTTAAATTTTATTTTCGAGAATGTATCCGCCTAACGAAAAAAAATTAAATTACACGATACGATGTCATATTGAATCTTCAGGCTCATAATATGAGTTATAAATAAAGTAAGTTAATGATTCCAAATTGAATCGCTACGTTCGGAAGGTGTTAAGAGCGGCCATCTTTGAACCTACAATGGGCCAATTCAAAATCACTCTTTATATTAGACGTTGAACTACGTGAAACGAAAGAAGAACAAAAATGGCATCGGTTAACAGTTTCCGCAAAAAAACGACTCGAGTCACTCACCTGAACACGTTGGCGCCCGCTGACGCAAATCTGCGTCACGGATCAGGGGTCTTTTTTATCACCATAAAGAAAAAAAGTAATCGGGCGCCAACGCGTTAAGCCAGACACCCTCGGTATAGGTATGTTCGGAAAATAACGAAAAGAACACTGACCCGCAACTCGGGCAAAAACGGTTACTGTTCTCGAAATAATATGTATGTTTAATTGATTGTGTGTTCCTGTGCATTCTATCCGCTGCATTTGGTATACTCTGGCTTGATCTGGACCTTGGTGTAAGAGTCAATTATATTTCTAAGCTTTCTTACGTTTTTTACGTCACATTGTTTAGCATATATATATTACATATATACAGGATGTCCCATTTGAACATTCACACGGAATTATCTTCCGAACTATTCGTTTTTTTTTTTTTTTTAAATTTTCCAGTAGAATTTACGTTGTTTCGAGGAGGACTTCTTATGATGGTTACAAATCTTATCTGAATTGGTGAACTTGTCTCTGTGATTTTAAAGTGACTTTTGTATTTTAAATGGACCTGTATGTTTTTATTTAGATAGACGTGTCTAGCCCATTCTGTGACGAATTAAGTGACCTACAATATGTTGGTTTTTCAAGGTCATTTAATACCGGTCAAAACCTTCGCAAGTACTACTTATAAAGTAACGATGTTTACGACTGAATCGATGAAATACTCCATTGTAAAAGAATTCTTGGATACGTCCAACAATGGTAATAAATGATCTTGAAAGATTAATATATTATAGGTTAGTGAATTCGTCAACGAAATGGGCTACACATCCACCTAAATGGAAACATATTGGTCCAGTTAAAAAAATAAAGGTGATCTTGTAATCTTGAAGGTACGTCCACCTATATAAGATTTGTGATCATCGCAAGATGTATCCCTCGAAAGAAAGTAAGTTCTGCTTGAAACATTTTTTTGGAATAACGAACAGTTCGAGAGATAATTCCGTGTAAAGGTTCAGATGGGACAACCCGTATATACATATTTACATATATATCTATATATAATCTACATCTTGGTTTTTATTCTCCGACAACACGCGCGAACGATCTATTTCTCGCATAAAATGCCGCGGCCACGTTCGATACGAGTTAGATACGTGATCTCTGTACTTCAAGCTCATCCAAATATACAGGGTGTCTCACGCAACTGGGCCAAGCCATTGCGTTAAAACGGTAGAAGATAGAAAAAATTTCGTCATGAAAAATTAAATTGTTTCTAGTGATGCATCATGTGGTGCTTGTGTCACCTGTATTTTTTTTTTAATGGAACTATTTTTTTCTAGATGCCATTCGATGCACTTTTTACTTTTCTACAAAAAAATATTTAGGTACATGGGTCGAGAAGTGATTAATTTATACGATATTTTAGCTTCAGTCTCTCAACATTGTATAATATCCAAGCTTGAACGTTGTAATGGCGTATTAAAAAAAAGGTATAGTTCTATTTAAAAAAATAAAGGTGACTTTGAAATCCTTGAAACGCCTCCATTTTCAGAGAGGACACGTGTTATGCATCACTCGAAACCATTTAATTTTTCCTAATGAATATTTTTTCTGTCTTCTACTGTTTTAACGTTATGGCTTGGCCCGGTTGTGTGGGACACCCTGTATACATACATACTCTGAACCATGCGCCCGACGAAAGCATTATTCTCACCCTACGTGCAATACTTACATCACCGTCCAACTAACACCTCTAGTCAGTCGGTCTCACACGTCAGTTCACTTCACTGTCACCCAGCAACCCTGTCTCTACCAGAGTTGGGTAAAATGTAATCTAATTACAACGTCTAAATTGCTATTACATTGTAATTACAATGTAATTGCGGGACAATTACAATTACATTCGAATTTTACAATTACATTCAATTTTATAATTACATTCGAATTTTACAATTACATTCGATTTTACAATTACATTGTAATTTTACAATTACATTCGAATTTTACAATTACATTCAATTTTATAATTACATTCGAATTTTACAATTACATTTGATTTTACAATTACATTAAAATTTTACAATTATATTCTAATTCTACAATTACATTGTAATTTTTATTGTAAATTTAGTATAGTTCATTACAATATAATTTTAATTGTAATTGTCCTGAAATTACTTTGTAATCATATTATAATTGTGATTTTGATTTTGTAATTAGATTACATTTTGCCTAGCTGTGGTCTCTACACACGCCTCGAACACGTTTCGTCTCTCTCTTTCTCTCTCTTTCTCTGTTCCACATGTGCACGGATCTAATCTGCAAACTGATGACTCTTGCGCGACTGGTCTAACGCGGAAATATTCAGGATTTAACCAGGCTTCGTTGTAATTGTTTAACTTGTTCCATGTTTAATAATTTCTTTGTTCAGACAGATTAATCCACTTTGTTTATTTCCAAATCTTTCGACTCTTTCTATTCCGACGTATACGTAGCATGAATATCGTATGAAATGATCGGTGACAACAGCAACAGTTTAGAAATTCCATCGGATAGTATTGTTTTCAAACAATTATTTTCTGAAATTCTTATGGTTGTAATAATGGTAGGAATTTTAATAACACTAAAATATAATATTTTACTTCTAATTCGATGACATTCCTTAATAGATAAAAAATCAGTTTTTAATACTTAAAAAATACTAATTTAATACTTAAAGTAATTACTTTCGTATTTTTTTTTTTTTAATTAGACTGTGAAAACGTAATTTTGCATAGGTTACGAATACTACTTCAATAAATATCGAATTTTACTCATTAAGTTTCTTTAATATGTAATTATCAATACTAAAATTAATCGATTGATCGATGAATTCTGCGACGAATAAATTATTTTCAATTATTCAAAAAATAATCTTGAATTTCTTAATGCGAAACTTATCGATTTATCGATACTGTTGAAGCTACCAAGTGTGTGTATCCTGAACGTTTCTGGCTTGGCCACCACTTACATTATTGTCACAATTAATCACAGCGAGACCAGTGCAGCAGCAAAACACCTATGCTTCTTTGATCGAGGAAAGTCCCCCGTACCCCATGCACTACTCTTGGTCGTTCTGTTTTGGTTGTACAACAGTATGATATTTTGCACCGTACACTGCTGCTTCCTTTGACTTTCATTTCCGAGTAATACATTGGTGTTCATTTTCTTAAATATGCATCGTGGTGCGCTTGGACTCACACCAGCTTCTCTGTGAAGTCTCTCTGAACATGGAAACCTAAAACGAGGAAATGACATATACTGTGTGAACTGTAACAGGTTTCATTCTATTTTAGATATATTATTAAATACTGAAATCTGGAATATGAAATTCCTCCTGTGAAAATGAAAAATGTCATTCGGATATTTATCAAGTACTCTTTGAATAAAGCTTAGATATTATTATTCGCTAGAATTGATTATTACGTAGAAAGCAATGATTGGGTGCAAAAGAATTTATTACTGTTAGTTTCATAAGTAGATCAGAGAAGTAGTTTTTTAATTAAGGCACAACTATTCACAGTTTATAACAATTGTATTCACCTTGTAGAAAATGGTAATAAATTATGTTTCCATTTTATTCTTAAGAATTTATCAAAGCAAAACTTGTACAGCATAGAATGGCAGTTTTTGAATTTCAAGGAGCCATTGCACCCCATAAACCTAAATTTAGCCACACATAAAAGAACGCATATCTTCCAGACTTCAGTGTTCGATAATTCAAACAATCATGCAATAACTGATTCTCAATTAATGATACCAAAAATCCAAGTAGGCCTCAACGAATACCCAGACGCAAAATTTACAGAGAGAATTTACAGACGAAGCTCAGTTCCATGTGTGTTGGGAACCATTGCCGAGTATCCTCTACTTCTCCAAAAAAGAATCTCGCTAAAAAATTCTAAAACATCCCCATAGATCTAATACGACGGTCTGCTTACCATGAACTATCCTACAATCAACCATTTCTGAAGAATTAAAGGGTGCTCGAATGGTAAACTGTGGCGATCAAAAGGCCACAGCAACAAGATATCCCCATCATCGATCCCAAATTAATCAGGACCCAGTTAAAGCAATCTCTTCTTTTGTTAATTATAGGTTAATCTCCGTGGAGGAGGAGCTGCGTCGCGAGCAACAGAAGATGTCGGCCACGTTGTCGTACAAGCAGCGCGTGATCGACGCGCAGGAGCAGCAAATAGCCGCCCTGGACGCCGCGAATTTGCGTCTGATGACGTCAAACACAAGACTGTTGTCCGCATTGAGCACACTGAAGCAACGGTACAACGCGAAGACCCAGTCGAGCAGTGAGGCAGCCGCGTTGCTGCAGAACATCGCCGACATCGGCGAGCTGAAGAGCTCCTCCTGTTGAGGGTCTCCTCCGTGAGTCCACCCCTAGACGACAGACACACGCGCGAATGGCGAAGAGCACACCCGGTGAACGAACAATCAACAGGAGGATGGGGGGAGGGGGCGTCACACGACAAAGGAAACAGCGGATGATCGAAGAGTATTCCTTTCACCTGTTGGCGACGTAGGTAAAAGGATCGAGGCAAGATTATCACGGCAAGAGAAACGCTGTACGATAATTTCGGTTCACCCCCGAGCTTAACAAAGGATGGTTTCTAAATCAAGAAATATTCCCAATCAAGGATGTCTCCTCAGGATGCAAAGATAATGCGCGTGAACCTCTCCGTGTTTTCCGTTTTCCCTTCGAAACTGCTTGGAGCTCGCTGATAACACGACGATAACAGAATTTAAGGGATACTCCTCGACTCGATAGGTTTGATGAACCTAGACGAAGAAGAGGAGAGCTCTCAAGCGCCGCGTGTGGAGAAAGAGAAAGAAACAGGAGGCGTGTGCGATTTAATAGAGGCTACCTAGTAAATAGGCAACACGGTTTAAGTAGATAATTTTACGTCGAACTTCACGTGACACATAGCGTTTAGGAAGATTTGTACCTAAACTGGTTTACGATTGACGTAGCGGAGTCATCGGGACACACAAGCCCCCGATCCTTGCGTCTTATGTGGCTTTCGTTCGTTCGACGCGAACGAGCCTGAAAGTCGTTAAACTGATTGGTCGATTGTCGAAATCTCGATCGAACGAAGACACAGGGGTCGAGATCGGTTCGTCGAGCGGGTGGATTGTGACGTTTCAGACAACGATGAAAAATCCTTTCCCTCCGCTGGACCGTGAACGATGTCTCTAATTTCCGTTCTACTCTGTTCAATTTACGTTAGCATATGTACCTTGACGCACAGCCGCCATGCACCGTAATCGCCTAGAGCATTGTACGAAGAAGAAGTGTTACACTATTTGTAATCGTTATCGGCGTTCGTCGCACCGTTTAATGGCGTCCTCGAGCACCGTACTTCGAGACACCCTGTGTATATGTGTGTATATTATTCTAGTTTCCATTTTTAAGCGCCGCCCGGACATCGTCGACCGTCGACCGTCTCGTATCGGGCACCCCGGTTAGCCTTTTTTTTTTTGTAACGGGACTTCCGGGCGAGAGAGTCACATCCCCGTCGTTCTCCAGATCGATTTTATCGAGGACAAGGACGATCGATGGGATCCGAGTGGGATATGGAAGCTTTTGGCGCGCTCGCGATCGGAATTCTTACTTTAAGCGACGATAATTTATTTAGTAGTTTCTACCAAAGATGAAGAGTTTTTGTCATTTGTAAAAAGAGCGTGAGAGAAAGAGAGAGAGAGCACACTGGAGAATTTACGTGTAAGATAATTCGTTTTCGCTGAGACCATCACCGTCGTTCCATTTCCCGGCGTACATTGCGCGCGCCCTGGTGGGAATATAGCGACGCCGAAAGTGTTAGCGCGGCGCGAAAATTTGAAATTCGCGCGGTCGAGACTTCTCGGTCGTGTTCGAATTCCTTTTTTTTTTCCTTGTCGTTTTCTTCTATTCTTTATTCCCGCCTCTCCCCCGCCCCCTTTTTTCGGCAGTTCATCTCGCATCTTTTACGCGGTATGCATGACAGTTAGACCACCGTTCGTCACGACGAGTTACGTTTTTACATCACACAGACGAAAAATTAATATCGATTCAATCGTAGCCGGGAGTGTCGTAGAGCGAGTAGCACGCGTGTGAGATCGAAAGGCTGAGAGGATGATGGAACGATAGAGCGCGCGGATGACAGAGAAAGAGACAGAGTGAATCGACCCCGTATGAATGCGCGAATGGGAAAGCGTGTGCGTGAAACGAATGAGAGAAGATTACGGATTCAGTCTAATCTCGTTAAAAAAAGAAAAGTATTATTCTCATCGACTTGTACTATAGCCTATTTGTCGAGCGTATGTACGCGTTTTATTTTTCTCGCGTTGCGCCGATTATTTTTGTATAGACACCTATCCTCCAGTTTTCTTTTCACCCATTCCTCTCCCCTCCCGATCCTCACTTTTCACTCGATCTTGTTCCCCATTCTTCTTTTTGTACTTTCCTTTAACGCGAACCGAAGCTATTTTTTATCGTCGAGTGTGTTAACACAGACACCACGAAATTAATATATTTAATAGCGTCACCATCACACTTCCCACCCCGAATCCCTTCTTGTTGGACGATGTAATCGATAAACGATAAAATAATCTATTTAAAATGACTTGAATAGCGTGTACATTGCTAAGTTTTTTGGTATATTCGTTTCTGCAATACAACATCTGTATTTAAGCGTATAGCGTCTATTAGTAACAGTACATGAAGAAATAAATATGATTAGACATATATTATGTCTGTGTTCTCTGTCTACGTTTAACCCTCGAACAACCGACTATATAATAGTGCACGTTGAGCCACTCATAACAAAGTACAAGACATAAGAATAGACTTTTCCTCTTATGGGAGTGGTGGCCCATCTAAGCTGTAGTACCGACACCTTAAAAAGCCTGCGATTTTAGCGACCTCTACGTTATGAGAATGGTAAATTTGAAAAAATACAATGGTTGAAACGTCTAATCCTATACCTCGTCTGTGTTTCTACAGAAACCCGTTGGCTGGTGGTGCCATCTGTGAAAATTGCTGAAACTGCAAAGTAAACAGTATGGACAGATAATAGAATAGACCTATCATCCAATGCTTTATTCAGTTCCACGTTCGCAGGGCTACGTAGTACTGTTACCATTTTAGTAGCAATACCCGACGTTACCGATAAAGCATGAAGTCTGAGTATTATTAGCACAAATGAAGTGTTATATATTCCATTCATATTGCGTGTATCTACACGTTTGACGGGAATAAAAATATCCGATGCTTCAATTTAAAGATAAGGGATAAATATGACAGTCATGGAACATGAAATGTGGGAGAATATGCACGGCTTCACCCAGTTATTCATCACCAGTTATAACGATCTGTGTATGACAAAATGATCACGTAGTTCGTTTCAAAATTAGGATGTCAATGAAAAGGAGGCGGGAAAACCTGCAGTGCAGTGACGCCCCCCCCAAAAAAGTGGGTGGCGAAAGTTGGAACTAATTCTGAAACTTTTTAAGCAGCGCCATCTGGTGGCGACTATGCGAACTATCGAAAAAGTTTTGGATTTAGTTCCAACTTTCGCCACCCACTTTTTTGGGGGCGCCACTAGTGTGTCTCATAGATCCCCATTTTTCCCGCGCTTTTTGCAAAATCCAAGATGGCGGAACGTTGGGGTCATATGACCCCACAGAAGTTTTAGAATTAATTATTTTGTTATTATTTATTATTTCTTATTACTTTTTTGTAATAGAGCCAGGCTTAATAAATAACGCATATGTATGATTTGACTGTTTTTTATTGAAAAAATTGTACGAAAATATACAATTTACAATAGTATTTCTATAAATTTAACAACAATTGCCTTAAGTACTACTTACATACATGATTTTACAATATATTTATTATAATATTTGTATAGATTCAATAAAAGTGCCCTAAGATACTTATGTTACTTTAATTCAACTTATTTATATAATTGTACAATATAATTGTAATGATATTTATATAAATTCAGAAAAAGTAGGCATAGATATTATTCAGGCTTATAAAATATTGTAACTTATATGCCGCAAATAATTCCCTCCCCTGTAACTTGCAAATCTTCCGTACCGTCTTCAAAGCTTCATAAAGGTTTCATAAGTTTGTCGCCCAAAATTTTGATTACCGGTGGCATATGATAGACGTGTGTAATAATTTGCAGTAGTCCTTTGCTGGATTCAATCAGTTGTTACTACATGTGGATTACGGGACAATGAACGGTAGTAAAATGGCTAGCGTCAGCACACGTTTGAGAAGTGATCCTTTATCACTGTTGCTTGTACAACTTTCTAGCTCGGTCGAATGTAGCTGAATCTCGCCAGAGACCCCGGGTGGTGAGAACGTGGTGTCACAGAAACCACGCAGGTGGCGCCAGAGATCCCGTGTGGAGGGAACGCGGGGTCACAGAACCCCCGCAGGAGACGCCAGAGACACCGTGTGGTGAGAGCGTGGGGTCACAGAACCCCCAGTGGAGGCGCCGGGGACCCCGTATGGTGAGAGCGTGGGGGCACAGAACCCCCAGTGGAGGCGCCAGAGACACCGTGTGTGTGAGGAATTGGGGTCATAAAACCCATAGAGCATGCGCAAGAGTTTTGAAACGTGATTTTTTATCGTTGTTGCTTGTACGAGTTTCAAGCTCGGTCTAATGTTGCTCGTGCAACTGTCGAAATCTGACTGACACTTGTGCGTGCTTCCGTGAGCAAATTATATAGTAACCCCAACAACTATTGCAGTTTCTGCAGGTACTACTACAGCCCAAGTTTAAAAGACGTAGGCAGTAGTCAGTTTCTGTAGTAACCTGTTGAACCAGACAACTATAATTAATGCAGGATTGTACAATATTTATGCAGTTATATTTTAGACAATTCGATGAAATGAAGCTTATATTACCTGACGTATGTTTACTGGAATATACATATATACATATAAATTATAATGATATAAAAGTTTGAAATACAATACGATGCGCTACGGTACAATACGTCTATTCGATTCAATCGCTCCCTTGCGACTACATCATGCTATCCGCGAAATATCACTGTAACACTTAATAAAAGTGTTAAAGTTCCATTTATGTCATTGTCCTGTGAAAATGTTTATACTTCCAGCAGCATTCATATTCCAATCAAGGAATTTACAGAATAAGGAAAAGAAATCTAAAGTAATTTTCAGTAGTTCCATACATCTTTATCTCGAATAATTTTCTAAAACATTCAAAGTACTACACATTTTTACACTTTGAATCTCATACCGATTTCTAAAATAATCCTAGTTCGATGTAATATAGAACGTGGTTTTATGAGATAGATTCGAAGTTCGCAGCCATTAGCTCGATATTGTCATCA